GAGAGGTTCCTAAATATCAAATACATTATAAATTTGAGGGGAGACCCTCCCCTTAACTCGTTTAGTGTGAAGCAGATGGAAAACTCATCTTTGCTTTACTTTCAGCGTGCAAAATTGAACTAACATGAACGACCTATAGGAGATGCCGATTCAAAATAATGGCGAATTGTTTGATAAAGACACGAAGAACACTAACAGGATGAGGATCAAAAGATATAAAAAATAACATATTGAGGACACAATACGCTTGGAAATTTTAGATTCGGGACTTACGTGATTGTAGTCCAGGTCCTTGAGCAGTACAAAACCATTTCGTGGGGATAATGCACAAGGGAAGGCTGGCAGTTCATGTTAGCTTACAGTTGAGCGACTTAATCTCTCTATAGCGGGAGACAGAAAAAAGGGCTGATGGAAGACGCCTCAGGCAGTTTGTATCTTGGAGTTCTGTCGTAAATGCAGTGGTTCTCAAAAAGATTCTTAATTTTACACTTAGGCAGTGATTCGCAAGACTTAATTGTGTGGGTCGGGTTGTTTCCGAAGTGTTTATCTATTAACTATCACAAACATTTGTAGATAGTCATCAAGCTTGAGATTAGTGAGCAAACCCATGGTTGTAGACTTTCCATGATCTAAATAATTCGCTTCTATCATAGAACTGAAGCTCTGATCACACGATATATGGTCACTCTATATTGCTGGGCCGCTTCGTGTAATTGTCAGTATCGTCGTGGGTCGAGATAAAGTTCGATTTCTTGAATACAATTCATTTCTGAATCTAAAATAATTTTTGCGTTTAGGTGAATGTAGAAGCAGACCTGATGTTCTGCCAACCGGACAAAAAGAAATAGCTTGCGAGGAGCTGGTAATGGAATTTACTGACTCTTTACGTGACAGAATACGAGGAAATATGCATTGAATTCTGCACCAGTCCCATAGAGTGCGCGTGATTCCTCACGAACCCAAATTTTATCTCACAGGATTTTTTTTCGCTCGTAAAAAATTAACTAAGATAAAACTCGTCGCACGCACCTTAATTTCGCTCACAGCAAATAGCCTTCTGAGTGAAACGCTTAAATAATGCAATATTTATCTTAATTGACGTGAGACGCGAACTGTCTTATGTTTGCATTCTTCTAACGCTTGATGTCACATTCATGACATTCACGCTTCTCATGATAAAAGAATGAAATAAGAAGGAAAAGTTAAAGACGATCATATTTTGTAGCAATTTTTCCTCATCTATTGTTATGTACACCTCGGAAATTCCAAGTTCTTGTAAATAATTCGAAAGTAAACCTAAGATTAAGGTGGTATTAATTGCGTATCTATAATGGCTAACATGGAATGAATGCGAGTTGTCTTCAGAAGCATCAAATGCAATGTGCAATTTAGCCAGTAATTCAAGTAATATAACAAGAGGTAACCGCTCATAACTCCAACAAGAACTTGAACCATTAAAACTTCGCAAACAAAAGTAACAAACAACAGTTTTACAGCTAGTTACAGTAGTTAATTCGTTAGTGCAGACGATCATAGCGATGTGGTTTGAATACATGAAAAGCATAATGGTGAACATTGACGCTTTTTTTAAAGGTCTCTTTTACATTTGTAGCCTCATTTGAAATTAATGGGTTTCCCTGTGCACAAATCAACTAAAAACACATGCACTGTAATTCCCAAGACGATCCTAAGCTATTAAATTAGATCACCTTATTAATTAAATTAAATCACTTTATTATTCCCGCTATCAGCAGGTAGGTTTTCTAGCCCAAAATGTTTTTTTAGATGTTAAAGTTTTGGTAACAACATAAGTTATCTATAACAGTTTTACATAACAGTTTTCAAAAGTATATTTATTGGTAGATAAATAGGTTGAGGTGCTCAAATGAGTAGTTGATGTTAATATGTGGAGGATGTATCCAAATTTTCAAGCAGCAATTTTGGGCCGGTGGCGGATGAAGACGTATAAAAAATAGCGAAAAAATAGCGAAATAGCCTATTTTGAGTACGACTCATAATTGATAGATTTTTATTCTTTTTTTTTTGTATCACATACTTGAACCAACGCCTGGTAATAAGAGTAAAAATTAATATTTGAAATCACTCTGCAAATGAATTTTGAGCTGCACTAATACAAATTAATTTTTACAAAGAGGCATTTTCTTATATTCCCGCCGTTCCCAGGCTCTGTCAAATTTATAAAATATAAATCAGTATCAAACTAAGCAAAATCACACATTTGGAACATCAACGCATTGGGAAATGCAGAGAAAAACCTCATTGTCAATTATGTGGAACACATGAAGTTTCGATGTATATCACCTCCATTATTATAATTGTTAACAGATGTTCGTGAATTCCTGGACCACGCTAGTTTACATTTGTTACCCATCAGCATAAACCAAACCTTCTTATTCACAACATAATCAACAATATGTATGAACGTTCACGTTTTGATTTTAATTTCTGATTATTTATTAATTTTCAATTGTAGATTTAGTTTATTTGAAAACATGACTCCATATATGAAGTTTTAATTCATTTTCACGATTTTCACAAACAGTTCTCAGATTTCCTAATGGGCACGAACAATTTTCATAAAAAGTTAATTGGATTAACTCCCGTTTAATCAGAATATTAAGTCGGTTGTTGATGTTAATTCTATGTGCGTAGTATAAAAATCTTTCGTATCCCGCTATACGGAAAACCATATAATATCATAGTGATATCATAACATATCATAGTGATGTCGGTGTTTCTTCTACTGTCGCCGATTCTCGTACTTTTCGTGACTTGTTCACAGGGGATCTAAAAACAGGTCATTCGACCGGATCTTTTGTAAACTGACAGTTTGAAATAGCTACTAGACTTACACCAGGTTCAAAATGGCCCTAAATGAGCTAGTAATTTCATCAATTTCGATACAAATGCCTTTGCCTGAAACTGTTTGAACGACTGTGCTGAAAAGTGTTAGAATGGAAATATATAGCAAATCTAACAGGCTATCACATGGATGCACTATTTTGCCCCAACTAGTTGTTCTTTCATCAGTGCACTACGGTTTGGAAGGGAGATTGAATTTTTTAGCGGGGATGAGACGTTCTAATTTTCAATAATGATATATGTAGAATAACTTGGGCATAATAGAGAACATCAATGTAAAGAACAAAAATTTACATATGTGAAATTTGCGTGTGGTAACACCAACTAAAACGATCGATGTTCAAATATTTTGCAACTTAGAATAGCTAACACAGTAACCAAACTTATTTGTAAACACGGAAAAAAAACAATGTAAATCTAACCATTAAGAATGATTTCCACAGTAACAAACTTTGGTCAAGTTATTGCAACTCGTTAGCTCATGAAAATTTGAACACAGCTGCCCCGAGAAGCCTGCCTGTACAACTCGCCGTGAATTGCCGGCTTTCGTGATTGTTATAAAACATGACACCTTCCTTTGAAAACGGACTTGAACAGTTAATGTTATCGTTAAACGGCCTAAATTAAAAATCTAAATTTTCAACCAAGTTATTATATTACTCGAAAATGAATAATATTTAACCTAAACAAAATATAAGATTTTAATGTAGATGAAAGATTTTGTTGATAGGATTTTAATGTAGAACAATCAGTGGAGTGGAGCTTATGTACTCCTAATTTATGTTTTGACTAATGAATTTTATACGATCTTTAACGACAATATTAAACATCATCAAATTTCGCCGTCGAGTAACGTGCTTTTAAAAAGCGACGTCCTCTTTAACGGTATTGACGATACCGCACATTTCGTGTGAATTTATGATTACAAATATTAATATTGGAACAAAAGTTTTAATTAAAAATTGAAATCATTGATTGTTTAAAAAGCTCACACCTGAGCTTTCTCGAATGCTGATTGTTCTGTCCAGATAATTATGTCTTTTTGGCATTGCTGGTTGATTGATTGGCACAAGCATAAATCAGTAAAACTGCGGGCAATATTCAGAATTCTTTAGTTATTCCTATGCCGGGAATTTAAAATTAGCATTAACTGTCAGTAGAGATACGAATAATTGCACAAGCTCAAATCATAATCGATTATCGATTGAATTAAGTAGAGTTTGAATATACAAAATAAATATTATTCAAATTGATAGTGTTTCTTTTTTCACAATCATTTAAAATGTAACAAACGATAAGTTTACAACAATTTGACCTTCACACTGATGTTGTTTTTAACAATGTTAATAGAATTTTATGGAAATTACATTTATCTCTGCTAGCTATTTAAGTCTCGAAATGCTCAGTTTTTTCATTAATGGTTATGAATTGTAAATCTAAATTTGGTTGAGGCATCAATTGCACGCACACCATCGGCACTTAAGTCTAATAGAATAGCAGTACAGTAGACTATTAACAACACATTTCCTTACTATTATCTCATTGAGTATAAATATATAACATATGGAGATGACATATTCCCTATTTACAGTATCAGTTCATATACAGAATATGTACAGCGCGTCGGAGAAGCAATTGTCTAGCGTCATTTATCTTCGTTAATTGGTTCACATAGCTACGCGTGGTTCACATGAGTGGTTGAACGCTGGTTCATGAAAGTGGTTCGGGATATCAGATAAAGATATTATTCTAATACTCAATTGAGTGATGTTCTTAGTGATTCAAATCATAGGTGAATTAAGAACATTCATGTGTCAACATTCATGTGTGGAGGCGTGCACCGCAGTACCAATAGAATAAAACCTATGGTAACGGTGGCTACAATAGGTCCTATTACCATAGGACCTATTGTAACGGTGGTATTTGTGTACATTAAATGAATGTGTAAAGTCAAGCGTGCAGCACAAAAACAAGTTTGTGCGGCAGTTGACACAAATGCAAAATATTCTCGTTTGCACTAAAGCTGGAGAGTGCTGATTAGTGATGATCAAAAAACAATATCGGTGTAAAGAGAAATAAATTCTGTCAAAAAAAATACGGGTGCCTATGAGGGCAATAAAAAAAACTGATTTTCATGACCAGTGCTTCAAAAAATTTCAAAACTCTAACTTAAACACTTATATACATTTTAGGGGGAGCGCCCACACACATTAATAAGCAATATAGTCAAGACACGGCAAACGTTGAAATTTTGATACACTTTATCACAACGAACACTCTAGCACTCAGCTGGCGTGACATGCTAGCGTGTGGATACACTAGCATTGAGCTGTCGAGTCGCTAACGTGTGAAGACTCTAGCACTCAGCAGGCGTGACATGCTAATAAAATATTCCAGAATTATGGACAACAGAATAAAAAATCCTTCAAGAAAGTCCTAGGTTATCCTGAGAGTCCCTCATGACAGGAGCGGTGATTGGAGTTGCCGAATGTGAGCATCCAAACTCAAATCTAAAATCACAGTTTCCTATAAAAAGTCTATGTCAAACTCCAATACTGTGCTTCCTAGTGATGATTAAATGTATTAAAATAAAAATTTTAGTACAATTAATCATATTTATTTTCTTGATTTATGGAAAATTATTGTTGGCATGAAATTGTTTTTGGTATAAGGCATAAATTTGGAAATGGTTGTTGATCGTGTTTGTAATGCTTATAAAAAATATCAGTTGGAGAATAAACAAATTTTCCCTCAAAATATTCCCTGAAGCTTTCAATATACGTCCAGTGTTTCATTACAATCGCATTAGCCTCCTTCCTAATATTTCTGCTTCACTTCTGAACTTAGAATTGTCTCTTTCATGTTTCCATTACATCCATAGGCGTCGCTATGCAACACGTGTGTTGGTGCTCGTAATTCGCTTCATTTTCTTTTCCGTAATGTTTTTTCTAACCAAATTACAGCTTAACCAGCACGAAAAGAAATTGCGTATTTTGCCCTTTACATTTGTAAGACAATTATTTCTAGCCACAAGCATGTTCGGGAAAAAATTGTACAATGACGAATAATTTTCATGGTGAAGAGGTTAAATCTGGCGGTATTTTGGTAGTGTTTCTGGTGGCTGAACCCTCAGCTGGAGCTGGCCGCCGATAAGCCGTCCAAAACAGGTGTTGAGAGGTTTTTTATATAGCTACTACGGTTCTCAGAACCACCAAAGATTGGTTCAGAGGGTTCAGAACCAGTATAGATCCTTCGGCCCCTCCTGCTGAACCGCTGACTCTAGACCTGCAAATAAAGAAGACGTGACCAACTTCACATTCACAGTGCTTTTCCTACCGGAACTTAAGTTCAAATGTTCAATCTCCGTGTCGGCAAATCAGGCATCTTATTTATAATGTCATTCTAAACTGAATTGTAACTTAACCCTCTACCGCCTGACATGAGTAACCGGAGCAATATTGTCACAAGCCTACTTCCCAAAAAGGATACGTTCTTGTCATTGTACAACATATTCAGAGCTAGTTCAGGTAATCCCTGCAAAAAACGGCACTGGCCCAACGATAATCCAAAATCTATAGTGAGCGCAAAATGACCTGCACTGATGGTTGCCGCCACGTACGAAAACTTTAATTAAATGTTCTCTGTTGCATACAAACGTCTTCGGGTTGCAAAACTCAATAGTTTACGTATGATTTAAGTTGAAAGTTATGTTCAAAATGAAAGTTATGACATACGGCGGTAGAGGGTTAAGTATATTAGGGGGGGAAGTTATAAAAGCAATGCACGTTCCCAATGCAATTCCTGCCTAAGTTAAGCAACTTACTGCCACAACATAGAAGGATGCAAATAATACTCACGACCGCATGAATATTTCAACACCTTGATACTTATATACAGCAGCATTGTAGCTATGAATGAGGATTACAATAGTTTATAACGGACGCCACAATTAAGTGACTGTATCAATTATAACGGTAACGATTCACGGGATGATGGTAATGCACTAATGGTAATGAGGTAATGTTATGATCACCTGCCCCCACGGCGGTGTAACTGCATAGACTATAATTATAATATTTAATGCAGTCATAGTAATGCCATAATATTAATGGAGTAATGGTATCATCACCTGTAGCCACGGCGGGGTAACTGTATAGACTATAATTATAATATTTAATGCAGGTAATGCCCTAATGGTAATGAAGTAATTATGGAATCACTACCTGTGGCAACGGCGGGGTAACTGTATACATAGACTGTAGAGATAAAATTTAATGCAGTCATAGTAATGCCCTAATGGTAATGAAGTAATGAAATCATCACCTGTAGCCACGGCGGAGTAATTGTATAGACTATAATGATAATATTTAATGCAGTTAATGCACTAATGGTAATAAAGTAATGGTATTATCACCTGCAGCCACAGCGGGGTAATTGTATAGACAACAATGATAATATTTGATGCAGTTAATGCCCTAATGGTAATGAAGTAATGGTATCATCACCTGTAGCCACGGCGGGGTAGTGGGCAGAGTACCCAGCGTCGAGGCCGTGAGCCGCCAGGTCCCCGGAGAAGGCGTCGTGGTAGCGGCCCCAGCCGTCCGGCTTACTCATGCTCATCTGGTGGAATTTTATGTGGTACAGTACAGTGCTGGGAAGTGCAGTGCAGTACAAGGCAGTGCAGTGCAGTATAGTGCAATGCAGTGCAGTACAGTACAATGTAGTACAGTACAATGCAGTGCAGTACAGTGGGGGGTAGGCTGAATGTTGGGGCGCTCGTTGTACGCTTTATAGGATGATGTTACATTGTACATATTGCTGTGGTACTCTATATGTGCGCTTAATAGTGCGATGTGTTCGCTTTATAGTGTGCTGTGCTCATGCTGTAGTGTGCTGTGCACGCACTGTTTTCTTGACACACTCGAGAGACTGAAATGCATGCTGCCGAGGAGCGGACGGTGGTGGCTATCGAGGAGACCCGGAGTGTTTGTATCGACACGCTCAGTGCACTGCTAAGATAAGGACTTCAGTGGCCCTTATCCTTTGACAGCTCAATGATCCCGTTAAGCAAGGAATGCTTATGAGCTTAGTTCACAGTATGTGTTAATAATGTGACGAACAGCAGACCTCCAATAAGTGCAAGAAGTAGGATTATGAACATCGAGTTTGGACAAAATGACTTTAGGAAGGTTATCCAAGAAATGCGGTTTTCAGCTGTAGGGCCTGAGAGAGTCTCCGGAGTGCTGTTGAAGAAGGGTGTCAGAGAAGTGAAATTTCTTCTCCTATCTGCACTGGATAGCAAAACAAGAGGTGAAGAAAGTCCGTAAATTAAAGGCAGATGAACTTTAGCTCTAAAAATGTCACAGGAGGTTGTTCCTTAAAGTACGTGGCTGGATTATGTAGTAAATGAAGATTTAATCGTGGGCGTTCATGCTTGACGCTTAATAGCAGCAGCATCACCAAGAATTGTAACCTTGTTGCAAAAGTTGTAACAAAGTATTGTAGCCTTGCTCTGAAACGTTTCAGAATACTATTGAAAGATGTATGATCTGTTTCAGAGCACTATTGCTCTTTCCCAGAAGTACTACTACCATCAATCGACTTCACTGACTTTCAGGACCACGATCAGAAGACTGCTGACTACTAGCAGACTTAAGGGCAATGTCTTACATTCACAATATTTGCAACATAACCACGCTATGTTCCATTGTGTATGTATTAAGTCTAAAGGGGGTGTGGGTATAATTTGGAAGGATTTATATGCACTGTTGCAAGATCTGCACGTGTTTTGTCGTATTAATTTCTTAAAAATTTTGTACGTTGTCGATAGTACAGCAGGCATTCTTACCTGTGCAGGTACGGCAGGCAGGGCAGGTATACGGGCCAGGGAAGGCTGTAGGCCTATACCGTACTGCTGGTACATAGCAGGCCTACTTACCTGCGCAGGCACGGCAGGCAGGGCAGGTATACGGGCCAGGGAAGGCTGCAGGCCTATACCGTACTGCTGGTACATAGCAGGCCTACTTACCTGCGCAGGCACGGCAGGCAGGGCAGGTATACGGGCCAGGGAAGGCTGCAGGCCTATACCGTACTGCTGGTACGGCCGCGGGGAGCAGGACGACATGGCGGCCTGGTACATGTCGTGTGCCATGCTGCGGTGACTGTACGCCTGTGATAGAGTACAGTACAGTACAGTAGAAAAACAGTACGGTACAATACAGTACAATGTAGTGCAGTACCGTACAGTGCAATGCATTGCAGTACAGTACAGTGCAGTGCACTACACTGCAGTACAGTGTAGTACAGTACAATGCAGTGCAGAGCAGTACAGTGCAATACAGTGCAGTGCGGTGCAGTGCAGTGCAGTGCAATACAGTGCAGTGCAAAGCAGTACAGTACGGTAGAAAAACAGTGCAGTACGGTATAATACAGTGCAATGTAGTGCAGTATTGCACCGTAAAACATAGTACAGTACAATACAGTTCAGTACAGTACTGTACAGTACTATAAAGTACAGTACAGTAGATGGTTTTACAATCAGAAATACGCCTGGAATAAAATAAAATGCAGTACAGTACAAAAACAGTGCAGTACGGTACAATACAATACAATGTAGTGCAGTATAGCACCGTACAACACAGTACAGTACAATACAGTTCAATACAGTTCAGTACAGTACTATATAATACAGTACAGTAGATGGTTCTACATCTACAATCAGAAACGAAACACTCACATAAATAGTATACAATACATTCACTTGACTCATATCTAATATAGAGAATTCAGTTATAACATAACTAGTCTATAATAATATAAAGTTGCAATAAGATTCTTCTATTATTCATTAGCACCGAATATCCAGCAAATTTGTCGTTAGAAGAAAAACGATAAAATATGAACATGAGTTGGACTTCTAAATGCACCACTAATTGTCTATAAATAAAGATGTAGTTTCATTAAACATTGTTCTTAAAGTAATGGGTGAGCTATCATGAAGTGATTTTCGTTGAACATGTAAAAAGTTCGATGATGTTAATAACTTAATAATAATAATCACGAGACAAAAGACAGATGAGAACCTATATATATAATGCGTTCTCTGATACTCGTCGATTGATTAGATAAAATCAGATTTTTTGCTGCTACGGACATAAATTTAATCATTATATCCTTAAACATAATTTTAAATAAGTGCCATTGCAGTAAATCATAGACAATTTCAAAATTGTATTTATTTTTACTAAGCTATATCACAAAAAAATCTCATCAATCACATGGCGCAAACATTTAGAGGTAAAATGTAGAAAATAATTGCCATCATATTTTACTTATAAGAACCGATTTTTTACATAATTTGATATTCTATGTATCCAAGAACAGGCGATAACCGACCTGATCGTCTGCATGTTATCACGATGTAATCAAAAATATTATTAAGAACTCAGCCCAATATTCCTCACATCATAGCTCAATATATATTCCTCAAATCATAATTCAATATTCCTCACATCTTAACTCAACATTCCTCACATCATAACTCAATATTCCTCACATCATAACTCAATATATATTCCTCAAATCATAATTCAATATTCCTCATATCATAACCCAATATTCCTCATATCATAACCCAATATTCCTCATATCATAACTCAATATTCCTCACATCATAACCCAATATTCCTCACATCATAACCCAATATTCCTCATATCATAACTCAATATTCCTCACATCATAACTCAATATTCCTCACATCATAACTCAATATTCCTCATATCATAACTCAATATTCCTCACATCATAACTCAATATTCCTCACATCATAAC